ATGCTGACCTGGCTGGTCTGACTGGTGGCCACTTGATCCTCTAGTGCTAGAGGTCCACTGAGACTGCAGGCTCATCCTCTTCCACTGTCCTGAGGATTTGTCAACAAGGCATCTTTTTGCTCCCTGTCTCCTCAATCAGGCCTTGAGATCTTGAGTAGAGTGAATGATGTCTGAACTGACCCCTGCACCCCTCTTGGGGTCTACAGGGATTTGCTGGTGCTGCAGAGCATCAGCCCCTGTGCCCAGACCAGCATGCATGCAGGACCACACAAGTCCTCTGTGTGGACACCTCTCTCCAAGGGAGTCAGCACGGTGCTAGGTACTAGATCCTCCAGTGCCCACCAGTTAGGATTGTGCTACTCCCCAGCTCTTTAACCTGCATGGGCAGGGGGCCAGGCATGGGCTGGAGCTCTAAGCCTTGTGCAACCACTCTCACCCCCCGGGCCCAGGCTTGGAGGGCTCTTCACTGTGGGGAGGGTGGGCCGCGGGGCCGGGAAGGGACGTGGAGCATGCAGGTCCACATTCAGACATCTCTCAGGTGCTTTGAACTTGGAATTTGAGAATATGTCTTTATTGTTTGCTTCCACCAGGCAGAGCTCCAGTCTGGAGTGGTCTCCAAGGAGGAGGAGAAAACAAATATTGGTCACTAGGTCATGACACAAACATTTTATTGATTATAGCAATTGGCCTTTGTCATGCAGAACACAAGCAATCAATCTACAGAAGAGGGTTCCCGGGGTGCCGCAGTCCACCTCCATTGAGGGACTTGTGGGCTATCTTTTGGCAGAAAGGGGTGGCGGCATGTTCGAATCCCCAGTAGGCGGCAGCTGTGTGTCCACCGAGGGGCCGAGGGGTGGTCCTGGTGCCCACAGAGGGGCGTCAGGGCTCCTAAAAGAGGACATTTGTGCCCGGGAACAAAGATGGCAGCACCAGACACAGAGGTTCAAGCTGGTCAGCAGCAGGACTTCTGGGCTGAGGTGAGCATGTAGCAGGCCTGGCGGGAGCCTATGGGCCGGCAGAGCAGGGACATGCAGGAGGCCCGGCGGCAGCAGCTGGGCTGGCAGGAGGAGGCGGGTACGCAGCAGGCGGGCCTGCACACGGGCCGGCAGAGCAGGGACATGGAAGAAGAGGGTCTGCAGCAGGACAAGGAGCAGGGGCTGGGCTGGTTGCAGGAGGGGGCTGAGCAGGGGGAGGACTCGTAGCAGACAGGGGTGCAGCCGATGGTCTTGCAGCAGACAGGGGTGCAGCAGACGGACACATTGTAGGCTTCCTGGCAGGGGGAGGAGCTGCAGCAGGAGGGCTGGCAGCTAGACTGTTGGCAGCATGAGGAGGCCGAGCAGGGGGAGGCCTGGCAGCAGACAGGGGTGCAGTAGACGGGCCTGCAGCAGACAGGGGTGCAGCAGACGGACGCACCGCAGGCTTCCTGGCAGGGGAAGGAGCTGCAGCAGGAGGGCTGGCAGGAGCTGGTGCAGGCTGACTGGCAGGGGCTGGACCCACAGCTCACGGGGGTGCAGATGAGGGTCAGACAGGGGCTGGACCCACAGCTCACAGGGGTGCAGCCACTGGACTGGCAACAGCTGGGGGCGCAGCAGGGGGGGGCACAGCAGGGGGGCTCGCAGCAGCTCTCTGGGCAGTCGTCCACCTGCCAGGAGGAGTCGGGGCAGGAGTCCAAGGAGCCGGGCAGACAGACGCAGCTGCCGTAGCTCAGGTCGCTGGAGCAGACGGACAGGGTGGACGCAGCCATGGTGGGGGCAGTGGGGCTGGAGGAGGGTGTGCGTGTGAGTGTGAGTGTGAGTGTGAGTGTGTGAGGTGCTGGAGCTAGTGTCTTTTATACCGTCCCGGATGTTTGTGTTGTCCCAGATGAAGGCTCACCACGCCTCTCTTGTGTTGGTGTTTTGGGCTGTGAGGACCATCATTAGGGCCTGTTCTGTTGTCATGACATGATCTTGCTCAGCTTATAAACCTTGGACCGTTCTGGGCAGGGCTGGTTGTTCCTGGTGTAAGCCTGGTTCCTCCGGGACACCTGTAGGGGAAGTGTAGACTCCCTGTGGCTCCCTCTGTGGCCTCCACCTGGCAGGTCATGTGCGGGGGGCTCCGGGTGATGGCCCTGGGCTCATGGGACAGCTCCACGTTGACCCAGCCTGGGTGTGCAAGACCTCGCTTGGAGCAGCTGGCCTGGCCTGTGATTGGGAGAAAAGAGGACAGAGGTGCATATTTTAGGGCACAGGAAATGTGGGGCTGATCCTTCCTGGGCAGGCTTGTGAACCTCTGCGGTCCCAGTGTCAGCCAAGGCCAGTGACAAGGAGAAGGATTTCCATGGACAGGACCAGATGTCCTCTCCCCAAGAAAGAGCCAGAATGTCCCAGTGAAGTCTGCACTCCGTAGGTCACATGTAAGGAATCACACAATATATGGCCTCTTGTGTCTGACTTCGTTCACTGAGCATAAAGTTTTCTAGGCTCGCCCATGTTGTAGCGCATGCCCATGCGGAACTCCTGTTCCTGGCTAATATTCCAGCAAATGGGTTCACCACATTTTATTTCTCTGTTCCTCAGTCAGTGGACATTTGGGTTGTTTCCACCTTTTGGCTGTTGCGAATAGTCCTGCTATGAACATTTTTGTACAAGTTTTTTTTGAAAGCCTCTTTTCAGTTCTTCCAGGTGTATAACTAGCAGTGACATTGCTGGGTCAGGTGGTAACTCTATGTGTAACTTTTGAGGAGCTCCAGACTGCTCTCCACAGCCGCTGCACCATTTTACATTTCCAACGGCAGGGTACGATGTTCCAGTTTCTCCACATGCTCCCCATCACTGCTTCTGTTCTCTTCTTTTTTTAAAAAAATTGCAGCCACCCTAGTGGGTGTGAAGTGGCATTTCATTGTGGTTTTGATTTACATTTCCCTGATGACCAATGTTACTGGGCTTCCTTTCAATTGCTTGTTGGCCATTTGAATATTTTCTTTGGAGAAATGTCTATCAAAGCGCTTTGCCCATTTTTAATTCGGTTATCTGTAGTTTTGTTATTGAGTTATAGGAGTTCTTTATGTATTTTGGATACTAAACCTTTATCAGAATTATGCTTTGCAAATATTTTCTCTTACTCTGTGGGTTGCCTTTCAGTCTCTTGATAACATCCTTCAATGCACAAAACTTTAACTTTTGATGAAGTCCAACTTATCTATGTTTTCTTTTGTTTGGTGTCATAACCAAGAAAATTGTTGCCAAATCTAAGGTCATGCAGATTTACCCCTATGTTTCCTTCCAAGAGTTTTATAGTGTTAACACTTACATTTAGGTGTTTGATTGGTGTTTGAGTTAATTTTTGTATATGGTATGAGGTAGGGTTGAACTTTATTCTTTTGCGTGTGGATGTCCAGCTGTCCCAGCACCATATGTTGAAGAGACTATACTTTCCCCACAAAATGATCTTGATACCCTTGTTGAAAATCAATTGGCCAGATATGTATGAGTTTATTTCTGCACTTTCAATTTTATTTTATTTATTTATTTTTAAAGATTTTATTTATTTGAGAGAGAGCACAAGACGGGGTAGGGTCAGAGGGAGAAGCAGACTCCCTGCTGAGCAGGGAGCCCAATGTGGGACTCAATCCCGGGACTCCGGGCTCATGACCTGAGCCGAAGGCCGTCACTTAACCAACTGAGCCACCCAGGCACCCTACACTTTCAGTTTTATTCCATTGACCTATATGTCTGTCATTACGCCAGGACCACTGTTTTGATCACTGTAGCTTTGTAGTAAGTTCTATGTCTCCCTTCTAATTTGGATGTTTTTTATTTGTTTTTCTTGCCAAATTGCTCTGGCTAGCACTTCTAGCACAGTGTTGAATAGAAGTGGTGAAAGCGAGCATCCTTGCCTGTTCCTAGCTTAGGGGAAGGCTTTCAGTCTTTCACCATGGGGGCTGATGTTCCCTGTGGGTTTTCATCTACCTTCTATTATGTTAAGGAACTTCTCTTCTCATAGTTTGTTGAGGGTTTTATTATGAGAGGGTGTTGGCTTTTGTCAGATGCTTTTTATGCATCAGTTGAGATGATCATGTTCCCCCCCTTCATTCTATTAATGTGCATTACTCTGATTGGTTTTCATATGTTGAATTACTCTTGCATTCTTGGGATAAACTCACTTGGTTATGGTGTATAATTCTCTTAACATGCTGCTGGATTTTGTTTGATTGTATTTTGTGGAAGGTTTAAAAATCTTAATCTATAAAAAATTTTGGTCTGTAGTGTTTTGTTGTTGTTGTCTTTGTCTGACTTTGATATCAGGATAATGCAGACCTCATAGAATGATTTATAAAGTGTTCTCTCATCTTGTTTTTTGGAAGAATTTGAGAAAGTTTAGTGTTAAGTGTTCTATAAATGTTTAGCAGAACTCAGCATGAAACCATCTGGTCCTGGGCTTTACTTTTGGGGGAGGTTTTGGATTACACTGTGATCTCATTACTTGTTTTATGTCTATTCGGTTTGCCTATTTCTTCTTGAGTCAGTTGGCTCACTTGAGATTCAAAGATACAAATAGATTGAAAGTGAAGGTATGGAAAAAGATATTTCATGCAAATAATAACCAAAAGAGGGCTGGATGGCTATAATAAAATTAGACAAAATGGACTTAGAGTAGGAGACAAAAAAGGACATTAAATATTCATAAAAGGGTCAACATATCAAGAAGATATGACAATTATAAATATATACGTACCTAGTAACAGACTCCCAAAATACTTGAAGCAAAAATTACAGAATTAATTTGTAAACTGACTAAGTTTCTGTTCTACAATAATAATTGGAGACTTCAATAAGTAATTTCCTCTAATAAAAAATGACATAATAGAACAACTAGATCAAAGACCAGTAATGAAACAGAAGCCTTGAATAACACTATAAACCAACTAAACCCAACATGTATACAAAGTATTCAACTCAACAACAGCAGAATGCATGTTCTTCTCAAGTGCCCATGGAATATTTTCCAGATTAGACCATATGTTGGGCCATAAAACAAATCTCAGTAAATTTTAAAATACTGAAATTATACAAAGTTCTCTGACCACAGTGGAAAGAAAACCAGTAACAGAAGGAAAATGGGAAAATGCACAAATAAATGGAAATTAAACAACACACATTGAAACAACCAATGGGTCAAAAAAGAAATCACAAGAAAAGTTAGAAAATACTTTGGGATGAAAGCAGATGACAACACAAGGAACTAGTACTTACGGGATGCAGCAAAAACAGTGCTCAGAGGCAGATTAATAGCTGTCAACACTCAATTTTTAAAAAAAGAAGTATTTAAACCCATAACCTAACTTTACATCTTAAAAAACTAGAAAAAGAAGAGCAGACAAAACCCAAAGCTGGCAGAGGAAGGAAACAAAGCACAGATTAATTAGAGACTAGAACTACTACAGAGAGACTCAATGAAACCAAAAGTTGGTTCTTTGAAAAGAGCAACAGAATGGACGACCTTTAGCTAGACTGACTAAGAAAAAAAGAGAAAAGACTCAAATTAAATAAAAATGGGGATATCATTACTGACCTTGTATAAGTGAAAAAGGTTATGTGCGAGTACTAACTGGACACCAAAGAGTTAGATGTAATGCATAAATCCTTATAAGCACACAAACTACCCAAACTAACACCCTTACTGGAGTTCTTTATCTCTAACTATGGCTCCAAATTACTGATTAGTGCCCTTTTATTCCAGCCCGAATTATCATTTCTTATAGGGCAGGTCTATCCACTAGCAATGAACTCTTTTGACTTTCATTTACCTTGAAGTGTCTTAATCTTCCCTTCCTACATTTGTTGGGCATGGACTTCTTAGTTGGCAGTCTTTTCCAGCACTTTAAACACTCCATCCCGGGGCGCCTGGGTGGCTCAGTCATTAAACGTCTGCCTTCGGCTCAGGTCATGATCCCAGGGTCTTGAGATCGAGGACCGCATTGGGCTCCCTGCTCCGCAGGAAGCCTGCTTCTCCCTCTCCCACTCCCCCTGCTTGTGGTCCTGCTCTCACTCTCTCTTTCTCTGTCAAATAAATAAATAAAATCTTTAAAATAATAATAATAAAAAAAAACACTCCATCCCACTACCTCCTGCCCTCAACATTTCGGATGAGGAATTGGCGTTAATCTTCCCTTTTGCCGCTTTTAAGATTCTCTCTTTGTCTCTGGATAGCTTGGTTATCATGTAGCTTAATGTGGATGTCTCTGGATTTATTCTACTTGGAGTTCGTTCAGCTTCTTGGATGTGTAGAATCGTATTTTTTTTTTTTTTGAAGTTTTTGGCCATTATTTCTTCAAATATTTTTTCTGCCCCTTTCTCTCTCCCCTCTTTTGGAGATTCCTGTCAAGTGCATTTTGGTCTACTTGATGGTGTCCCACAGGTCTTGTTATCTCTGTTCATTTATCCTTATTCCTTTTTCCCATCTACTCCTCAGACTGGAGTATTTCAACTGTCCTGTCTTCATATTTACTAATTCTTTCTTCTGCCCGCTCACATGTGCTATTGAGCTCCTCTAGTGAGGTTATCATTTCAGTTATTGCAATTGGTTCAATAACCCTACAGTTTTTATTTGGTTCCTTTTTTATACTTCTGTCTCTTTATTGATATTCTCAATTTGGTGAACATTATGCTCTTGGTTTCTATTAGTTCTTTGTCCATGGTTTTCTTTGACTCTTAGAGGATATTAAGAGAATGTATTTAAAGGTTTTGTCTAGAAAGTTCAATCCCT